CACGGCCACGGGTTCAGGCTCTGACGTCGGGCGCAGCCTCTTCACCCTTCTCCTCACTGCTTTCTCCCCACTGGGCACACTCGCCACCCCCAAACCGCATCATCCATCCATCACGTGGGGACCAGGAGTCATCTTTCTAAAGCAGGCCTGGGCTTTCACTCCCTGCTGACAAACTGGCAAGTCTACCCGACACCTGCAGGGTAGAATCCATCCCTTTAGCAAGACCACCAGGCCCTTTCTGAGCTGACCGCTACCTTCCTCTCCATGTCCACCCCACCACACACCTCTGCATCCTGCACCTTCATCTGGAGGAAAGCCGACCACTCCCCAAGCACACCACACCAATTCGGACCCCCTTACCTCCAGGTGCCCTGTTTCCTCTGCCGGGAGCCCCTTATTTTTCTCTCCCTCCAGCACACTCCTACTCCTTTTTCAAGGTCCAGGTTAAGTGTGTCTTCTTTGACCATGATCTTCTTAACCTTCAGTGCAGCCAAGATGAAGCCACTGTGGCTAGGGGTGTAGACACTTCCACCTGCTGTAGACAGGGCCAATGTGGGACTACTGGGGCCGGCAGGCCCAGTGCTTGCTGGGAGTGACATTGACAAATTCCCGCTTGCTGGCTGGCTGCTGTAGCTTATCTCCCTGCTAGTGGTCACGGTGAAGTGATTTACATCAGAAGGAGACAAACCCTGCCTTGAATGTCAAACTTCATAGGCTCCTGCCAGAGAGATACCCAGGGTGGAGATACCGTGTGATTTGATACAACAAACAAATAGCACCGACAAACTAGATTTAAAGCTAGGCAAGGCAATCTGCCTACCTTCCCTCCCTCCCTCCTCCCTTCACGGGGCCTGGGCACCTGGATTGGAGGTAGTGAAAGAGAAAGGGAGGAGGGGGAGAATAGACCCGCAGCTTCTTTCCTTGGCATCCGAGGCCCTTCACAGCACAGCCCTTGCCTCCCTCTCAGCCCAGCTCCACCATTTCTGCCCTGCTCAAATAGCACCGGCAAACTAGATTTACAGCTAGGCAAGGCAATCTGCCTACCTTCCCTCCCTCCCTCCTCCCTTCACGGGGCCTGGGCACCTGGATTGGAGGTAGTGAAAGAGAAAGGGAGGAGGGGGAGAATAGACCCGCAGCTTCTTTCCTTGGCATCCGAGGCCCTTCACAGCACAGCCCTTGCCTCCCTCTCAGCCCAGCTCCACCATTTCTGCCCTGCTC